AAAGAAAGAAAGAAAGAAAGAAAGAAAGAAAGAAAGAAAGAAAGAAAGAAAGAAAAGAAGAAAAGGGAGGAAAGAGACAAAAGTTAGATACGTCGGCAACAGAGGAAGGTGGGGTACTAGAAAAACCATCTCTGCTGAGCACTCAGGCACCAGGCAGGCGTAACGCCTAGCCTGCTAGGAAGAAAGAGTATCAAAATGGTACAGTATTCAGCAGTGTAGAATTAGAGCCAGAGTCTGCAGGGGAACAGAGACAGAAGTTCTAAGAGCACATCAGACCTTAGGAAGGACCCCCTGGGATCAACAAGCACTAACAAGGGCACCTGTGAAGACCTCCCACTGATGGCATCAGCTCCCTTAAGGGCACATTTAGGAGTGTGATTGGATCCAGAAGTCCATTAAAAAATACTAAGAGTCCAGGGTGGGTCAACAAGCAGGCAAGTGAGCACACTCAAAACCTACATCATTGTCCAGCTCTCTCTCTTGCTCTCTCGCTCTTGACTTTTATTCCTTTTTTTAATTTGATGTCCAGTGTCAGTTTAGCAAGCCAGCTAATCAGATCTGTCTTGTTCTGTTCCCTCCTGATCTCTCCTCCTCCTCTCCTTCTCTTCTTTTTCTTTCTTCTGTCTTTTACAATCAGATCCTTTTCTTTTCTGTTTCATTTTCTTTCTGATAGGTTTTTCCAAAGAACACAGTCTGGCCTGATGGGGCCTCCCTGCCTCAGCCTTCTGAGAATTACTATTATTCTAACACATCTGATGGCATTCCTTTACCTCTTTCTTCCTTTCTGAAGAAGGCAAAGAACAGGAAAAAGCAAAGTGTGGTAGTTTGAATCCAACTGCCGCCATAAACTCATAGGGAATGGCACTATTAGGAGGTATGGGCTGGTTGGAGGAAGTGTGTCACTAGAGATGGGCTTTGAGACCTCACATATGCTCAAGCCAGGCCCAGTGTCTCAGTTCACTTCCTGTTGCCTGTGGATCAAAATGCAGGACTCTCAGCTCTTTCTCCAGCACCGTGTCTGCCTGCATGCCACCATGTCCCACCATAATGATAATGGACAAACTTCTGAACTGTAAACAATCCAATTAAATGTTTTCCTCTATAAGAGTTGCTGTGGTCATGGTGTCTCTTCACAGCAATAGAAACCCTAACTAAGACAGGACAGAAAGAAACAAAAATGGATGCGTGAGTATTAGAGCATCTTTATCCACCCATCACTTGTCCCTGCTTCCCCACCCCTTCCATTTACTGGACTTCTCCCTTCCCTGTGCTTTCCCTACCATCCCAATACTAACCACTAATCTTCTTCTGCTTTCTTCTGTTCCAGCTACACTCACATTAAGCAGTACCTTGGTGCACACAGTACTACCAGGGTTCCTTTATTTCCTGAAATGATGACTGATCAAGAGGTGATCATTTTCTAAACTGTTGCTGTGTTTTCATGATGGGCCTACTGTTTGGTAGTAGCTATTTTTTGCAGACAATATTCTACTCGCAGGATAGTGCTGAGGACTGACTCTGTTGCCTGAAACAGGGCCTAACCACTGAGCTAGATGCACAGTCTAGCATAGAAAACTGGCACCTCAACAATGTACTTCCTCCTGAAGACTGCAAACACTTCCAGTTAAAAAACACATATGTAAATATGGATGATTTAAAAAAAATCACCCAGCATGCAAAGTCTCAATTCAAAACCACGAGAAACATGGAGAACATAGGTAACATGTCTTCAAAACTTTCTAAACCCACAGTTAACAATCTCTAAGGAGGGTGAAGTAGATGAAATCCCAGACAAAGCAACAAGTGGCTCCACAAAGGTGTTCTCCAACCTCCACACATTACTGAGACACATGTCACTATGCACACATCATACACACACACTAATAATTAATAATATAATAGTAATAGTAATAATAATAAATAATTTTAACTAATGAAACAAAAAAGAACAATAAAATGAACTAGTGAAACAAGAATTAATATTTTGAAAAAATAAACAAGATTGACAAACCCTAAGTTTCTCTTGATGATGAACTGTAATCTGTAAGCAAAATAAACCCTTTCCTCCCCAAATTGTTTTTTGTCAGTGTTTATCACAGAAAACCAAACTAAAATCAGAAACATTATAACAGATATCAATGAAATTTGGAAAAATTATTAGGACATGAAAAATTTTTATTCCACTGAAGTGAAAAAATATAAAAGAAATATAAGAATATCTGTACACATACCAAAATTAAACCAAGATGAGGTAAACAAACAGACTTATAATACGCAATGAACTTGAAGCAGTAATTAAAAAAAAAATCTCTAGACCAAAAAAGACTTGGCCAAGATGGGCACACTCCTGAATTCTCTTTTTTGTAAAGATTTATTTATTTATGATGCTGGCATATTTTTATATGCTGGCAATGTGCTGCTGGTATATATGCCTACATGCCAGAAGAGGGCACCAGATCTCATTATAGATGGTTGTGAGCCAAGGAAGAGCAGCCAGTGCTCTTAATCTCTGAGTCATCTCTCCAGGCCCCTACACTCTGAATTCTATCAGATGTTAAGAAAAACAAAGACCAGCTGGGCGTTGGTGGCTCACGCCTTTAATCCCAGCACTCGGGAGGCAGAGCCAGGTGGATCTCTGTGAGTTCGAGGCCAGCCTGGGCTACCAAGAGAGCTCCAGGAAAGGCGCAAAGCTACACAGAGAAACCCTGTCTCGAAAAAAAAAAAAAAAAAAAAAAAAAAAAAGAAAAAGAAAAAGAAAAACAAAGACCAATGCTTCTCAAATTATTCTCCAAAATAGAAATGCCAAGGTCTTATTAAAGAAGCCAGTATTACCCTGGTAATTAGACCAGATAATGATAAAAAAAAAAAAAAAAAAAAAAAAAAAAAAAAAGATAACTATAGGTCAATCTCACTGATGAACACAGATGCAAAAGTCTTCAACAAAATGCTTGGAAAGCCAATGCAAGAGCATGTCAAAAAGATCATCCACCATGATTAACCTGGGTTCATTTCAGAGATGGTTCATATACAGAATAAATCAGCCCAAGGTCAAGAATCACATGGCTACTTCAATAGGTCCATAAAAGATTTTTGACAAAATTCAAGTTCTCTGAATGGTAGAAATTCCTAAGAACTAGAAACAGAAAGAATTTATCTCAACATAATAAAGTCTACATACCACAAATCTATAGCCAAAGTTGCTCTAAATGGGGGAAAACTCAAACCAGACATAGATGAAGGTGTCCACTTTCTCCACTCTTATTGCTGTATGCTTGAGATCTTAGCTAGAGTAATAGAACAAAAGAAGCTATAAAAGGAATGTAGACAGGAAAGGAACAAGTCAATATCTTTATTTGCTAATGGTATGATTCCATATGTAAGAGATCCTAAAAATTTCAACATGAAACTCTTAAATCTGATGAACACTTTCATTTCAGCAATGCAATAGGGTACAAGATTAACGTACAAAAATCAGTAGTCTTCTTACCAATCAATGACAAATATGAGAAAAATGTTAAGAAAACTGTCCCGCTTGCAATTATTTAAAATATATTTGAATAAACCTAACAAAAGAATTAAGAGGACCCTGTGTGCTCTGCATGGCCCCAGGGATTCACTCAACTTGGGGGTGAGGGAATGAAGAAGGGACAGATACACATATGGTATGATCTGTGTGATCTGGGCTCTTGAAAAGAGGAGCCACAACACCCCAGAAACTCAGGGTTTTATTATATACAGTTGAACATGGAAGAAGGGCTATTTCATATGGCTGAACAAGGAGGTAGGTTTACTTAATCTTGGTAGAAGCAGTCTCTTGTAAGGGAGCAATTAAGTTAGTGGTGGTGGGAGCTGCTGTGGACATTTTCTATGCACTTTGTCAATATTCACAGTTGGGCTTAAGGAAGGCTTTGACATCCTCCCAAGCCTCACCAGGGGAAGGCTTTGCTACTTCTTTTATACTAAGGCATTGGGGTCTTTGACATGGCCGTCCCCACATCAACAATACATATTCACTCCCCTCTCTTCCCGTAGATCTGTAATACGAACTTTAAAACACCAGAAAGGGAAATTGAAGAAGACATCAAGAGCTGGAAAGGTCTCATATGTTCATAGAGTGGGAGAAATAATATTGTGAGCATGATTTTATTACGGAAAACGATTTATATATTCAATGCAATGCCCATCAAAACTCCAATGTCATTATTCACAGAAATAGAAAACAAATTCTAAAGTTGAAATAGAAGCACAAAAGACTCTGATAGCCAAAGTAATCCTGAGCAAAAAACAGTAACGCCGTAGGTTTCACTAAACCTGATTTCAAGTTATCCTACAGAGCCATAGCAACAAAAGTGGTGTACATGGTACTAATATAAAAACCAACATGTAGATCAATGGAATAGAAGAGAGAGTACAGATCCAAATCCCCACAGCCACAGATACCTGGTTATTGTCCAACATGCCGAAAATACACACTGGAACAAATATGGCCTCTTCAACAAATAGTTCTGGTAAAATTGGACGTCCACATGTAGAAGAATAAAGCTACATCCCTGTCTTCTGCACTGTACAAAAATAAATCCAAAGAGGACAAATATCTTAATGCAAAAGTGTTCATGTCATAATACCCTGAAACTGCAGTGGTAAAGTAGGGCAAACACTTCAAGATGTAAACATGGGCAAGGACTTTCTAAAGAGGATTCTGGTTGTATAAGAACTAATGACAACAAATGACATGTGGGACCTCGTGAAATGAAAACACTTCTGCATGGTAGAGGAAATAATGGGTCAAGTGAAGATACAGCCTACAAAATGAGACTGAGTATTTTTTCTAACTCTACAAGTGACAGAAGATTGATATCTAGAATTCACAAATAACTAAAAAAAACGAAATGACAAGAAATCAAACTGCTCAGTCAATAAAGGGGCAAGCAAAAAGACAGACCATTCTCAAAAGATGATTTATAAATGTTCAACAAACAAAAAGAAAAGATGAATGTCACTAGGCACAAGAGAAATGCAAATTAAAATGCTATTACTATTCTATCCACCTCTGTCAGCACAGCAGTCCCTAGGAATACAAATAAGTAACAACAAATACCGGCAAGAACGTGAACAAAAGGGAACCCTAATACAGTGTGGGAATGTAACTAGTACTCCCTGCAGCACACTTCATGATAGCTAAGTTATAAAACCAAATGAAATGCCCATCACCAGAGGAAGAGATGAGCAAAATATGGTGCATATGCATAATGGAATTTTTTTTTTTTAGCCATATCATTCACAGGAAAAAGGATGCAACTGGAGATCGTCAAGTGAAGAAGTGAACTAAGTCAGTCCCGGAGAAACATCCACTCTCTCTCACTGGTGGGCCGTACGTTTTATAAAGATACATACAGTGGTGTACAAATATTTGAGATGAAAATAGAAGCAAAACTGTCTTGAGGAACAAGGGAGAGAAACAGGAGAGGAGAGAAAGGAGAAGGTAAGGAGGATGGAGAATATGTTCAAAGTACACAACAGACTGGAGTGAAAATGCTCTCATGTAACCCAGCACCAGGTACATGAACACATGACAGTGAAAAAGATGTATAAAGAATCCCAACCTATATTAAAACAATAAGTAAAAATCTAAATCTAAATAATCTAAAAATCTAAATAATGACAGGCACAGTGTTTCCTCTCCCCCCTCCCCGCACAATTTCCATAATACAGAAGAGAGCAAGAAGACAGGTTGGAGGGAGCAGAACAGGAAAAGGAGAAGCTGCCTACAGCTGACACAGTGGACCATCCTCTTCTTCAGAGGCTCAAGGACATTGCTACAAAACATCCCTGCTGGATGAATGCTTTATTTATGCTTTCAGTCTAGCAAAATGCCCATGGGTTATGTTAGGCAAAGCAGGCTAAAGAGAATCTTGATATTAGAAACTATAAGAAGATAAAAATGACGTTCACCAATTCCAGCAATTTGAGGAGTATCTTCACAGTTACATTCTTCCCTTCTGTCACAGTCCTCTGGTTCTGTTTGTTTGCTTGCTTTGGTTTATTTATTTATTCTAACTTATTTTATTTTTTCTTCTTTTGGCAGACATCAGATAATATAAGAGAAACTGCATTGCTCATTATAGTCGCACATTCTGTTTTTTTGTTTTTTTGTTTTTTTGTTTTCTTTATACAAGTGGTAAATATATCTATGTGGATAAAGTATTTGGCTAAAGAACATAGTCCAGAATGTTGCGTGTATTTTTCCAAGTAATGGCTATAGAAATTACATAATGGAAACTATACCATTCTCATTAGACTGTCATCACCCAGCAAACTCACCAAGTTTTTGAGGTTGACATCAGCATTTCTCCTTAAGAGGAAGGAGACGATTCTCAAGTGTCCTCGCCTGCAGGCGCAGATGAGGGGAGTATCTCCATTGAAGCCATCTTGAACATTCACGTAATGGTTGTCCTCTTTTACCCACCGCCACACTTGCCCCAAGTCATTCTGGTAGGCTGCCTGGCAGATGGGCTGAGTCAAGAAGAGCACAACTGTTCTTAAAATACGGACATGAACTTCTGGGAAAAAAATCCCTACTCTATAAGTCTACAATACGTGCATGAAGATCTGCTTACATTTTCCAAAAATTACTTGCCACGTGGAATAGACAAAAGGTAAATGGATGAATGAGTAAATAAATGGGTGAAATACTATGGATCTCATTCATTGAGGAAGTTTTTACTGCAAATTAAGAAGAGATTTTCAGAAAAAGCAAAATCTGCCTAGAGCAGAATTGTACATTAGGAAAGGAAAGAGTTCAGGGCAGCGGCAGATGATTTTAAAAAAAAAAAATCACACGTGACTTTCTCTGGAGCCAGTAAAGAAACTTGCCTCCAAGCCTGATGACCTGAGTTCTAACCTAGGAACCCACAAGGAAGAAGCAAAGGACTGACTTCTTTAAGTAGTCCTGTGACTTATACACCTGCACTGTAGTATAGCATACACACACACACACACACACACACACACACACACACACACACACACACAAATAAGCAAATATAAAAACCAAATGATGGACTCCAGACTCTTCTGCCTTTGGATGCAGATGACCAGTGTCTCTCCAGGGGACTTCAAGGCCCTGGTCTCACCCGGGGCTCTATCACTGATTCCCTCCTTTTTGCTTTTGTTTGCTGGTGTCAAATTCCTTGAACTTCATTGGCACTGGCATCCAGGCTCTGCAGCCTACAAGTTACCATTGTGGGATTTTTTTTCAGCCTCTGATTGTGTAAACTAATCTAATAAAAATCCCCTTAAAAATTATGGATGCATTCTATTGGTTCTGTGCTTCTGGAGTACTATGTCTGCTCTGGAGAGCCTGGGAGCAGGTGACTTTAAAGGTATATTCTCTTGTTCAATTTTTAAATCATTTTACAACAGTTTACCTTCTTGTTTCTCTTTAAATTATTATAAATTTCATAATTCTGGACCATATTCCAAATAGGACATCAGCCAACTGATGATTATTGGCAGTTGTTCCTAATTCCCCAAAGTTCCCACAACTCCCCATTACACCACACCTAGCCCATTTCAACCACCCATGTTGCCTGCCTGGCTCCTACTCCCAAGATCAAATCCCTTTTCTTAGATCCTTTAAAATCTTTACTGAATAAAACTAAAAAATAGGAAGACCAGAAGACAGATAATTATATTAAGAGTTACTAGGTGCTTTCTCAGGGAATATTACTTAATTTCGGCCTGATCTTCCCTTTGGTCTCTCTTATGCATCCTGTAACCTGAACATACTTTCTATTTTTGAAAAGTAAAGTGATAGAGGCCAGGGGAAGCTCAGTGTTAGAGCTGATGCTGAATGTATGCAAAGCCCTGGGTTCACTTTCTAGCGTGTGTGTGTGTGTGTGTGTGTGTGTGTGTGTGTGTGTGTGTGTGTAGAAAAATAAACAAGTGTGTACCTCACTGTGATGGTTTGAATGAGAATGCCCCCCCCCATAGGTTCATATATTTGCATGCTTAGTCCCCAGTTGGTGAATGGTTTGGAAGGATTAGGAGGTGTGGCCTTCTTTTGGGAGTTGTAGGGATGGGACAGCCAGCCCTAACCTGATGGCACTGTGTTGTTGGCTGCTCTATCCCAGTTAATTAGTGACACTCCCTCCAGAGTACTCAGACCTGAATAATAATTTATGCATAACTCCTCTGTGATGGCTAAAGAAATGTAATATGGTACCAGGCATCTCTAAGGGTCCTGAAACACCTGTAAGGGCCTCTTGACCTGTGAGAGAGATAAGATAGGATAATGGTGTTCCTGCTGTGAAGTATTTAACCTATTTATCCAGTGGGACTGGGACGAAGTGGTCTTTTTATTACTATACAAACGAGACACAAATGAGAGGAGCAAATAGATTTTCTTGCTCAGCTGTGGATTTCATGGGTAATTGTAATGTTTACCTTTGATATCCACCTTTATAAACTGTTGGGATTCCTGGCCACTCCCCCAGCTGCATGACCACTCATGTGCAGTTCAGTAGCCAAGTAAGGGGCCTTATGTCTTACGTAATCTGAGTGCTGTGTGATCACGCAATCTGGGCATGCGTGGTGTAGCTCTGTAAGCCTATATGCACATGTGCAGGGGAATCCCTAAGAAGTGGGACACAGACACCATCCCCCTCCTCTTCTCCTGCTCCTGTTCCTTCCCACATCCTCTTTCTCTGCAAGGGTCTCCTGGTCACATTCTCTTCTGTCCCTCTATCCTCCTAATAAAACTCTGCTCTGATAATGGATTTGTCATGCCTCGTGACTTCTCCTTGCAGAGTAAAAGCGCCGCATTAAAACTAACATAAACTCCTCCTTTAGCCCCCTTAGGTATGGCATGTTTGGCTCTAAGGCTGTCATCCTTCTGCTAGCAGTAAGAATAAATTGATTTAATATAAATTTGAATTGAGTCTTAGTCTTTCTCAGTGGATTCAAACTTTCCGCAGTGTGGCCTTGTTGGAGGAGGTGTTTCTCTAGCAATGGCTTTGAGTTGTTCTCTGTGCCTGCTGCCTACATATCATGATGTAGCTCTCAGCTACTACCCCAGAGCTGTGATGATAATGGACTGACCCTCTGAAATGGTAAGCAAGCCCCTAATTAAATGCTATTTTTATGAGTTGTCACAGTCATGGTGTCTCTCCACAGCAATAAAACAGTGACTAAGATAGCTCACTATTCTGTGTGGTCCAGAGGATTATCTACACTAGCCATAGTTTGGTTTCAAATGAGCCAGTTTACTAAGCAAGTAGTGAACAAAAGGAAAAGAACAAATATGCAAGCAGCGGGTAGAAGCAGAGTATAGATAGCAAAAGATTAAGTCAGAGTGAACATCTGAGACCACTGAAGTGGATGGATTGAAAGAACAAGCCATCAAATCGAAGGCTTGCAAATGTCTAGCAGAAATCGAGTGGGGAGGCTGAAGCAGTCAGCTGAGGTTCTCAGCTGAGCTCTCTCTCCATTAGTGAGGCTCCCATGCTGAACTTCCGGTTTCTGCTTGTTGCCCATGTGGCCAAAGGCATTTTACACCATGGGGACAAACAACTGTAACTTCTGATGGAAATCATTTACCTTCCAGTTGTCCTCAAGGACATGATCTTTTATCCTTGACCTATTTTGCTGTTCCTTCAGTTAACAACAAGCTAGGCAAACTGTCCCTGGACAAGGGGTCTTGGAGAACACTTAGAGACAAACATGCTTGAAATGTGGGAGGGGCAACCCCACTTCCGGGGCCAGCTCCTCAATGAGCTTAAACAGCACAGGTTGTTTTTCAGAATAATGTACATCACACTCCCTAAATTGAAGTCCACAAGTAATTTCAAGCGTGAGCTAACAACTGAAAAGATTCCTTGCTGTTTTCCAGTAGGGGGCAGCTCCGTGTCAGAAAAGCGCACAGCAGGGGACGAGAATCCCACCAGAGAAGTGGTAGTGGCCTGTCAGTATCTACAAGTGCTCTACAGCATGGAAGGGTGGCTACAGTTTGAAACATTTATTATATATTTTATAAGCAAACAGAAAAGAGGGGTTCAGAGGTTCCCAACATGAAGAAATGATAAATGTTTAAAGAGATGGCATAGACACTCTGATTTTGTCAATGTACATTGCACAAGAGTCAAATTATTCCACTGTACTTCTTAAATGTGGTTTATATTAGATAAAAGATTAAAATTAGAAAAAAATCTGATAAAGTAGAAAGTAGAAGAAGACGGTATCCATTTGGGCAGAAAGAAAAGCTGTTTTGCATTATTGAAGGTCATGGAACCTAGAGGCACTTTAGATTAGAGTAGTCCCACTTGGAAAATTACCTCGAAAACGGCAGTTTCCCTGTATGCCCAGCACCAACTCTCTGTCACCTTTGGGGCTCATTCCCCTGTTCAGATCCTCACTGCTCTCTACCTGTAACTATGTTATCTCTCTCTATCTCATCCATGCAGTCTCCAGCTCACGCTCCCAACCCAGTAGCTGCTCATCACATCCCTGCTGAAGACCCTCCTCCACGGCCAATCAAGATGCTATCCTTAAGTAGACACAGCTGCTTCTCAATTTTCATAAATCCTGTCTCTCTAACTACTTTTCCTACCGATCCCTTAGCTTCACCCTTGGTCCAAGTTAATCAATCCTGTTCGCTATGGTTTAAATGTATCCTTTAATTTTCTGTATCAGAAATATGTTCCCCAGTGTGGTAGTTTGAATGCAATTGGCCCCCATAATCTCATAGGGAGTGGCACTATTAGCAGGTGTGGTTTTGTTGGGGTGGATTTGTACTTGTTGGAGGAAGTATGTCACTGTGGGGTAGGCTTTAAGAGTTCCTATACTCAGGATACCACTGAGTGTCTCTGTTGACTTCCTGTTGCCTGCAAGATGTAGGACTCTCAGCTATTTCTCCAGCACCACATCTGCCTGCATGCAGCCATGCTCTCCACCATGATGATAATGGATTGAATCTCTGAAATTGTAAGCAAGCCACCCCAATTAAATGTTTTTCCATTACATGTGTTGCTGTGGTCATGGTGTCTCTTCACAGCAATAAAAACCCTGAGACACCCAGTATGGTGATGCTGAGTGGTGGGCACAAATATCAGGTTTTTGGGATTGAGATGACATGACTCTCATGTCAATAACAATGAATGCATTGCTTATTTTGGAGTGGGTTTTTTATATTTTAAAAGGCTAAGTCTGCTTCTGGTCTGTTCTGTTGCCCACCCTCTCTTTACCTTTCTGCCATGGAACAATGGAACCCTCACCAAGTATGGACCCTCAGCCTTATACTTCTTTCTTTTTTTTTTTTAGTGGTGAACCAATACATTGTAAATTACTGATCTGTAATTGTTGTATCACCTAAAAACAGACCATCAGTGTTATTGGCAGTCATCTCCCCAACTAGTCCGCTAGCAACATGAGCACAATTATTGTTGTCTGTACTTTCTCATTGCATTCTAGCACCTAGCACAGGGTGTGACACCTCATGGGCATTCAACATCTACTTT